TTGGATCTGTCTGAGATCTGAGCTAAGTAAGAGAAGTTAGGAGCAGTGGGCATGATTAGGTCATGCAGGATTGTGGGTGCAAAATTTGGAGGTGCTCGGACTCTACCAGGGACATTGGGGAGCCATGGCAGGTTCTAGGCAGAGGGAAGGACAGGGTCAGATTTGGCTTTAGAAAGATCCCTTGGCCTTACCGGGCACGGTGGCTCATGCCTATAATCCCAGCACTTTGGGAGGCCGAGGTGGGCGGATCATGAGGTCAGGAGTTCGAGACCATCCTGGCTAACACAGTGAAACCCCGTCTCTACTAAAAATACAAAAAAATTAGCCGGGTGTGGTGGTGGGCAACTGTAGTCCTAGCTACTGGGGAGGCTGAGGCAGGAGAATGGCGTGAACTTGGGAGGTGGAGTTTGCAGTGAGCTGAGATTGCACCACTGCACTCCAGCCTGGGCGACAGAGCGAGACTCCGTCTCAAAAAAAAAAAAAAAGATCCCTCGGCCTCCAGGCCGGGCGCAGTGGCTCATGCCTATAATCCCAGCACTTTGGGAGGCCGAGGCAGGAGTATCACCTGAGGTCAGGAGTTCAAGACCAGCCTGGCCAACATGGTGAAACCCCATATCTACTAAGAACACCAAAATTAGCCGGGCGTGGGGGCATGCCTGTAATCCCAGCTACTCAGGAAGCTTAGGGAGGGAGAATTGCTTGGAACCCAGGAAGCAGAGGTTGCAGTGAGCAGAGATCATGCCATTGCACTCCAGCCTCCAGCCTGGGTGACAAGAGCGAGACTCCATCTCAAAAAAGAAAAAAAAGAAAAAGATCCCATGGCCAGGACAATGCATGAAGAGTGACAGAGGAAAAGAAGCAGGTATGTGAGATAGCAGGGAGGTGGAGAAAGTGGACAGAAAGGGGAGATGAGGCCAAAAGTCACATAAGAGGGGCCAGGAAATAGCCACTGGATCTACCAGCAAGAAGGCTGATAGTCAGGAGGATCGTTTGAGACCAGCCCAGGCAACATAGTAGGACCTCATCTCTACAAAAAAAAAAAAAAAAAAAAAAAAAAATAGACACTAGATCTACCAGCAAGAAGGCTGATAGTCGGGAGGATTGTTTGAGACCAGCCCAGGCAACATAGTAGGACCCCATCTCTACAAAAAAAATAAAATAAAATAAAAATAGCCGGGCGTGGTGGCACATGCCTGTGGTCTCAGTTGCTTGGGAGGCTGAGGTGGGAGGATCACCTGAGCCCGGGAGGGTGAGGCTGCAGTGAGCTATGATCTTGCCACTGGACTCCAGCCTGGGCCACAGAGACATTGTTTCAAAAAAAAAAAAAAAAGGCCGGACATCGTGGCTCACTCCTGTAATCCCAGCACTTTGGGAGGCCAAGGCGGGCAGATCACCTGATGTCAGGAGTTTGAGGCCAGCCTGGCCAAGATAGTGAAACCCCGTCTCTACTAAAAATACAAAAAAATTAGCTGGGTGTGGTGGTGCACGCCTGTAGTCCCAGCTACTCAGGAGGCTGAGGCAGGAGAATCACTTGAACCTGGGAGGTAGAGGTTGCAGTGAGCCAAGATTGTGCCACTGCACTCCAGCCTGGGCAACACAGTGGGACTCTGTCTCAAAAAAAAAAACAACAAAAGGCAGCCAGGGAGTGCAGGACGCTGTGGGTGTGGACACCTGAGGGTGGTGGTAACTGAGCGATGATAGTGTAGTCATTGTGTCTAGATTCCCTGTGGGTGGGGAACATGGAGTCAAGTTTCAGGACAGATGTGGGGACCTACCTGTAGACTCTAGGGGCAGGAAGTAGAGAGTGCAGAGCCTCCCTCTAGTAGCCTGTTAGGCTTGGAACTGGAGAGGATGGAGCATAGATGTCAGTAGGAGGCTGGGGCTGGGCAGAGGTGATATCAGTACACAGAGGCCATTATTGAGGAGGGTAACAGCTTGGATTCCAATCCTCATTTCTTCACTTTCTTGCTGTGTGACCTGGGGCATGGCCCCTCCCTTCTCTGCCTCATTTATTTTTTCTTTTCCTTTTCTTAATTTTTAGTTTTTTTTTTTTTTTTTTTTTTTTTTTTTTTGAGACGGAGTCTCGCTCTGTGGCCCAGGCTGGAGTGCAGTGACCAGCTCTCAGCTCACTGCAAGCTCCGACTCCCGGGTTCACGCCATTCTCCTCCCTCAGCCTCCCGAGTAGCTGGGACTACAGGCGCCCGCCACCACGCCCAGCTAATATTTTGTATTTTTTAGTAGAGACGGGGTTTCACCGTGTTAGCCAGGATGGTCTTATCTCCTGACCTCGTGATCCGCCCATCTCGGCCTCCCAAAGTGCTGGGATTACAGGCTTGAGCCACCGCGCCCGGCCAATTTTTAGTTTTTTAAAAAAACAGAGATGAGGTGTCTGTTGCCCAGATTGGTCTCGAACTCCTGGGCTCAAGTGATCCTCCCATCTCAGCCTTCCAAAGTGTTGGGATTACAGGTGTGAACCACCATGCCCAGCCTGTGCTTCATTTTAAAATGACACTTATCTCACAGAGTTGGATTAAATGAGCTAATACCTGGAAAGCACTTTACACTGAGCTGGGTGAAGGGGTAGCCTGCCCCTCCACACCTGTGGGCGTTTCTCGTTAGGTGGAACGAGAGACTTGAGAAAAGAAATAAGACACAGAGACAAAGTATAGAGAAGGAAAAAGTGGGCCCAGGGGACTGGCGCTCAGCAGACAGAGGACCTGCGCCGGGGCGTCTCTGAGTTCCCTCAGTATTTATTGATCATTATCTTTACCATCTGAGAAAAGGGGAAGTGGCAGGATAATAGGATCATATAGGGAGGTCAGCAGTGAGACATATGAATAAAGATTTCTGTGACGTGTAAGTTTAAGGAAAAGTGCTATGCCTTGATATGCATATGCAAACATCTCCATAAACCTTTTTAGTGCATAAAGAGCAGCATTGCCGCTAGCACTTCCCACCTTCAGCCCTAAGGAGGTTTTCTCCATTCTCAGTAAATAGAACATACAATCGGGTTTTACACCGAGATGTTCCATTGCCCAGGGACGGGCAGGAGACAGATGCTTTTCTCTATCTCAACTGCCAAGAGGCCTTCTTTCCTTTTACACTAGTCCTCCTCAGCACAGTCCCTTCACGGGTGTCCGGCTGGGGGACGATCAGGTCTTTCCCTTCCCACAAGGCCATATTTCAGACTATCACTTGGGGAGAAACCTTGGACAATACCTGGCTTTCCTAGGCAGAGGTCCCTGCGACCTTCCGCAGTGTACGTGTCCCTGGGTACTTGAGATTAAGAGAATAGTGATGACTTTTAACCAGCAAGCTGCCTTTAGGCACTCGTTTAACAAAGCACACCCTGCACAGCCCAAAATCCGTTAAACCTTGAGTCACCACAGCACATGTCTCTTGCAAGGACAGGGTTGGGGGTAGGGTCACAGATTAACAGCATCTCAAATACAGAACAAAATGGAGTCTCTTATGTCTACTTCTTTCTATATACACACAGTAACAGGCTGATCTCCCTTTTCCCCACAGCTGGGCACACAGTAAATACTCAGTGAAGTACCAGCTGCTATTATTGTCATCCCATATATTTGTGTAATGTTATTATGCTAAAAACCAGTCTCCTTCCTTCCCTACCCCTAAACCTCCCCATCTCCTCCAGGTGCCTTCAAATCTCTTGACAAAGATGGCACTGGACAAATCCAGGTGAACATCCAGGAGGTAAGAACCCCCATCTTGGGGTACAGGTGCCTGGGGGGACCCTACCCCTTGGCCCTTCATACCAGCTCTGAGCTGCAGTCCCCTCCCTCCTATTTTGCCAGCAGTCCCTGGGTGAGGGCAGAGGGGCTGGTGCTCTGGGGTTCCCTGTCCTCACTCTTCACCCTCCTCTCCCCAGTGGCTGCAGCTGACTATGTATTCCTGAACTGGAGCCCCAGACCCACCCCCTCACCGCCTCGCTATAGGAGTCACCTGGAGCCTCGTTCTCTCCCAGGGCCCATCCTGTCTGCAGTCACATCTTTGTGGGGCCTGCTGACCCACAGCTTTTGTTCTCCCAGCACTTGTTACCCAGCTTCTCAACATCCAGGGCCCAATATGCCTGCCTGGAGTTTCCCTTGGCTCTAGAACACTCTAACAAGCTCTGTCCAAGGGTCTCCCCACTCCCACCAGGCCCTGCACACACCCGCTCCGTAACCTCTCCCCTGTATCTGTGCCAAGCCTAGCATTTGTGATGCTTCCATGCCCAGAGGGCCCTCTCTCAGTTCTGGGAGGATGACTCCAGTCCCTGCACGCCCTGGCACACCCTTCATAGTTGTCACCCAGGCGGCCAAGCTCTAGACCGTGCCAGACCCAGGCGCCCTAGTGCCTTTGTCTATATTCTGCTCCCAGACTGCCAGGCCCAGGAGGAAATAAACGCACCCCAGTTGCTGATCTCTATGCGATCTGCCTCCTGATCTGATCTGAGAGAGGAGGGAGGAGCTTGGGCTCTGGGTCCTGGGGAACTGGGGAGGTCGCAGATTCATCCCCAGGGTTGGATCTGTGGATCTCCTTGTCTTTGTCTCATCTGCATTTTTTTTCTCATCCTGAGCTGTGGAGGCTGAGACAGGACCCAGAAGGCCCCGTGATCTCTGCTTCTGCTTCCAGAGTCCAGGCTGGAGGGAGGCCTTAATACCACTCCTGGCCCTGTCTCCCAAGGCCATGTTTGCCCCTCTTGCAGCTTCTCCATCCACACTTGGCCTCTGCCTCTGTTGTGTCATGGACCATGGTCAGTGTCTTCCTTCCCACTTGAGGACACCACCCCATGTCCCTGGGTCCCGAGGGGCAGCCTATGGGTGCTGTTTGGGGTACTCAGCAGAGGGCCCAGAGGTAGCGACATCCTAGGAGTAGCCGTGGTCCAGCGTGAGGCACTGAGGGCTGGGAGTAGTGGGCAGTCCACGAGGCAGAGATTGCTGGCTGGCGGGAGTATGGGCTTGGTGGGAAGGGGTGGACACACACATACACACACACACAGAGGCCAGCGTTTATTGACACTTGTTCAAGTCCCTCAGGCCCCCCAGGCTTCCTGGTCTTAATTCCTGGGGAAGGAGGCCCAGCCAAGGCAGTACACGCTGTAGGCAGAGCCTAGAAAGGAGAAGCGCGGGAGACAGAATGAGACCTAATCCCCTCCCTGGACATCCCGGGCTTTTAAGGCCTTCTTCAGACTCCTGAGTTCCCAGCCTGGACCCCAGCTCTAGTTTGGGCTCCAGCTCCCTTCCCAGATTGGACTCCTATTGTAAAGGCCCCTGGCGTTGATCTAGATCAGGCTGGGAGCTTCCTCCCCAACTCCTCCCTGGGCCTCAGCCCCACTACTAGCCCAGCCCCCATCCTGGGACACGAGCCCAGGCCCTATTACTCCCCTCCCTCCAGCTCAGTACTCCACCCCCTTCCTAAACGCCAACCCCCAACCCAGATCCTGGTCAGTCCTGGCCAGAAACCAGCCGCCTCCTACCCTGGGGTCCAGCCTCGCCTCCCCAGCAGCTCCGGCCAGGTTGTGCCCTGCGCTCACCTCCCAGACACAGCGCCATTGTCACTCGGTATAGGATGTTGTCAACGAAGCCGCCCTTCAGGTACAACGGGATGTCATTGTCCTCCTGGATGTGGGGGTGTCTGATGAGAAGGGTGCCGGCAGCTCCTTTGAGGGCGCCCCGCCTGCGCCCTGCTCCGCGCGTCGGAAGCCCCTACCCCCAGCCCCGCCCCGCCCACCTGGAAGAGCTTCTGTTTCTCGGGCACTCGGTTCCGGAAGCGGTTCCGGGCGGTGGAGCTGAAGGAGCGGATCAGTGCCCGGGAGACCTGCGGGGTGGGAGGTGGGCGGGTATTGGAGGCACCTGGAGGGGTGTCCTGAAGGGGGACCCTGCTCTCTGAGGCCTGGACGTGGGGACAGCCCCATCCCTAGCGACCGTCCCAAAGGTGAGGAGGGTAATAACTTGGATTCTATTACCCGCGAACTGCCAGCCTGGGTGGGGAGGGGACTCGCCCTAGAGTCTGACCTGGAGGTGACCGGGCTGGCTAGAGGGTCCTGGAAGGGAGAGGACCCAGAAGGACTTTGTTCTGGGGGGTCTAAGTCCTGAGATTTTTGTCGGGGGAGGGTTTCCTGGATTAAGGGAGGAAACCAGGTCCCGGGAACGTGGGGACCGGAATGGAGGTCCCGGGAGCGTCCAGGCTGCCTGAGAAGCCCTGGGTGAGGCCAGGATGTTTCCGGTGTTGAGGGTTCCCGAGATGTTAAGTTCAAACCCGGGGCTTTGGGCCGGAGTGGGGGTCCCCAGTTGTCTCCGAAGAGTGGATTTTGGGGGAGGGGACCCAGGTTGTTTAGCGGGGAGTCCCAGGCCCTGAAGGGGGCTCACGTTCCAAGGCCCCAGATGCGGGGGTACTTGGAGAGTCGCGTATTAGGGCGGGGTTTTCTGGGTGGGGGGCCCCGGCCCAACCCGTGGGGGCCTCACCCGCAGGGCCTGCATTCTGCCTCGTCCTCTTCCGCCGGAGTCACCTCCCCTCTCCGCCCAAGGACACGCATGGCCCTCTCCTGTCCAGGAACCCCAGACCCCGCCCGCTGCGCGCAGCGTGACAGCTGGGGACGCGGCGGGGCTGGGGCTGGGGTGGGGGGAGTCCTGCTCCTCGATTTGTCCACCGAGGAGAAAGCGGTCCAGACCCTCACCCCGGGCCGCAACGCACATCCCTTTCGGTCTCGGAATTTCTGTTGGGACAGGAGCGGAAAGCGGTACCGGGGAATCCGTTTTTGCAGATTTTTGGAGATTTCCGGGGGGGGGGGGCGGCAAGTGCAACTCCTCCCCGGATCTCTCCCTGCCCGCTGGTATGTGAGAGTGAGGAAGGAAAGGCATAAGGCCGAGTTCCAACTCCCTGTTCTGTCTATACAGCCAGAGATTGCACCTCCGAGCCTGTTTCCGTATCTGTCATGTGAGGGCTAAGGCAGGATCTTTCTCAGAGATTTGTTGAGACGTTAAATGACCTTGTTTTTAGGAAACATAAGCTGAAATCTTTGGGGGTGAAACGGTATTCTATGTTACCCTAAGAAACACATCGTATCTATTTATAGCTCTCTAATTCTGGCAGGCAGCGGGGTGCGGCACAGTTGTCCTAATGGTTTTAGCAACCAGGAAAGATCCTGGCCTAGTCTAAAAGGTTTTCTTTTTTCTTCTTTTTTTTTTTTTTTTTCCAGACAGGGTTTTGCTCTGTTGCACAGGCTGGAGTGCAGTGGTGTGATCATAGCTCACTGCAGCCTCGATCTCCTGGGTTCAGCAATCCTCCTGCCTCAGCCTCCTGAGTGGTTGGGACTTACAGGTGCACACCACCATGCCCAACTAATTTTTGTGTTTTTTGTAGAGGCTGGGTTTCACCATGTTGTCCAGGCTGGTCTCGAACTCCTGAGCATGAGAAATCCGCTAGCCTCGACCTCTCAAAGTGCTGAGATTACATGCGTGAGCCACCGCACCCAGCCAATAGACAATGTTTGTTTGTTTTTGAGGCAGCATCTTGCAGTGTTGCCCAGGGTGGTCTCCAGTTCCTCCAAGTAATGTTCCCACCTCTATCTCCCAAAGTGGTGGAATTAGAAGTGTGAGCCACTACACCCAGCTTCTAAAAGGTTTTTAACAATCTGTCTTATTTATTTATTTATTTTAGACAGAGTCTTGCTCTGTTGCACACTTTGGAGTGCAGTGGTGAGACCTTGGCTCACTGAAACCTTCTGCCTCCCAGGTTTAGGCAATTTTTGTACCTCAGCCTCCAAAGTAGCTGGGATTACAGGCACCTGCTACCACACCCGGCTAATTTATGTATTTTTTAGTAGAGACAGGTTTACACCATGTTGGCCAGGCTGGTCTCAAACTCCCAACCGCAGGTGATCCGCCTGCCTTGGCCTTCGAAAGTGCTGGGATTACAGGCCCAAACCACCACTTCCAGCCACAGTCTCTTTTAAAGAGGGGTTTTATAACTATTAAATTCCTTTAACACTTTCAAACTATGCTTGTAAATTTAATGTTAGGTTTTTCCATTTAAGAGCCACAAGTAGGGCCGGGCGTGGTGGCTCACGCCTGTAATCCTAGCACTTTGGGAGGCCAAGGCAGGTGGATCACTTGAGGCTGGGAGTTCAAGACCAGCCTGGTCAACATGAGAAAACCCTGTCTCTACTAAAAATACTAAAATTAGCCAGGTGTAGTCATGGGCGCCTGTAATCCCAGCTACTTGAGAGGCTGAGGCACAAAAATCGTTTGAAAACAAGAGGCAGAGGCTGCAGTGATCCAAGATTGCACCACTACATTCTAGCTTGGGTGACAGAGTGAGAGTCTGTCTCAGAAAAAATTAAAAAGCTCCAAGTAGGCCAACTTACCAGATGAACAGATGACTCTTCAATTCTTAAATAACTTATGAATCAAAAATTCATAAACTGTACATAAACAGATTTTAAGTAAGACTTAGTCACCAACTGAATTCCACATTTTACAATGGAATTATAAGATTGACCTGTCATTTGAATAGGCCAGTTTGCCTTAAATATTACAGATTCTTAAAATACCAAGTATCCACAGATTCTCTAACACAAAGTTAATACCACGGGGGCCGGGCGCAGTGGCTCACGCCTGTAATCCCAACACTTTATTTTTATTCATTTATTCATTTTTTCGAGACAAGGTCTCGCCCTGCCGTCCAGGCTGGAGTGCAGTGGTGCAATCTTAGCTCACTGTAACCTCCACCTCCCGGGCTCAAGTGACCCTTCCACCTCAGCCTTCCAAGTAGCTGGGATCACAGGCTTGGGCCACCACACCTGGCTAACTTTTGTGTTTTTTTATAGAGATGGGATTTCGCCATGTTGCCCAGGCTGATCTCGAACTCTTGAGCTCAAGTGATCTGCCTACCTCAGCCTCCGAAAGTGCTGGGATTACAGGAGAGCGTCACCTTGCCTGGCCATGATGCTTATTATTTTAAGGCACTGTTTTGGGTGTTTTTGTTGTTATTGTTGTTGAGATGGAGTTTCGCTCTTGTTGCCCAGGCTGGAGTGCAGTGGTACAATCTCAGCTCACTGCAACCTCTGCCTCCCGGATTCAAGTGATTCTCCTGCCTCAGGCCTCTTGAGTAACTGGGATTACAGGCGCCTGCCACCACGCCTGGCTATTTTTTTTTGTATTTTTAGTAGAGACAGGGTTTCATCATGTTGGCCAGATTGGTCTCGAACTCCTGACCTCAGGTGATCTACCCGCCTCAGCCTCCCATAGTGCAGGGATTACAGGCGTGAGCCACCGTGCCCGGCCTGTTTTTTGTTTTTTTGTTTGTTTTTGAAAGTTTCACTCTGTTTCCCAGGCTGGAGTGCAGTGGTGCGGCCTTGGCTCACTGCAACCTCCACCTCCCAGGTTCAAGCAATTCTCCTGCCTCGGCCTCCCGAGCAGCTGGGATTACAGGCATGTGCCATCATGCCTGGCTAATTTTTGTATTATTAATAGAGATGGGGTTTCACTATGTTGGTCAGGCTGGTCTCAAACTCCTGGCCTCCAGTGATCCACCCACCTCGGCCTTCCAAAGTGCTGGGAATTACAGGGGTGAGGACACCGCACATGGCCGTTTTTTAATACAACAAAAGCTACTTGACAGAGGGTCATGCATTTCTACTTCACCAAAGTCCCCACCAACCCCTACTGTCTTCTATCTATTTCACTTATTCCTATTTCTTGCCTGGTCTGTAGGCATTTGAGTTTGCCACTTGTGGATAGGGTCTGGCATGGCAACTGCCTGGAACTTTAGCACTGCTCCCTACCATCCCTCCAATCCCAGTTCCTGGGAAGGAATCCCAGGTCTCATTCCACCCACTTCTCCTCCTCCCCAGCACCTTCCCCGGGTCCTGCCCACCATCATCTTCTCGCTTCTGGCTCACTGCACCTGCCTCTTCTCTATTCTCCGTGTATACAGCTGTAATCATTATCTAGTTAATTGCTCCAACTCAAGAGAGTAATAAAATGTCTCTTATCTCAACACAAAGTCTTTGGTTACAGCCTGGACAAAGTTCCTGGATTAAACTCCAAGGTGCCAGGAAGTCTGGAATAATATCTCCATGTCAAAAGCAGTGAAGCAGCTGGCACAGCGGCTCACGCCTGTAATCCCAGCCTGAGCAACAGAGCGAGTCCCTGTCTCTAAACAAAACAAAAAAAACTGCTGCTGCCATAGCACGGGTCTCATTTAGGAATGGTTTTGTCAATTTGCGGGACAAATGAGCTCAAACTCAGTATAAAGGGCCAGCTGGGGGATGTCATCTCTGCTCCTCTGTATCGGTTTACATGAAGACTTAGCTTCTAGAACAAAAAAGCACCGACATACATGGTTTAAAGAACACAGAACCGCCGGGCGTGGTGACTCACGCCTGTAATCCCAGCACTTTGGGAAGCTGAGGCAGACGGATCACTTGAGGTCAGGAGTTCAAAACCAGCCTGGCCAACATGGTGAAATCCCATCTCTACTAAAAATACAAAAATATTAGCCCGGTGTGGTGGTGGCTGCCTATAATCCTAACTACTCAGGAGGCTGAGGCAGGAGAATCGCTTGAACCTGGGAGGCGGTGATTGCAGTGAGCTGAGATCGAGCCAAATAAATAAATAAATAAATACACAGAATTTACATACCAACAGATCTCAATACAGAGATCTTATTTTGATCTTGATCTAAACAAATATTTTTAAATGTATGCCTTTTTTTTTTTTTTTTTTTTTCAAGACAAGGTTTCACTCCAGCCTGGGTAACAGAGTGAAACTGTGTCTCAAGAGAGAAAAAAAAAAAGAGACCTTATATTTTAGAAACACATAAATACATATTAATTTTTTTGTTGTTGGAATGCTATAACATATAATGTTTATTATTTTTTTGAGACGGAGTCTTGCTCTGTCATCAAGGCTGGAGTGCAGTGGCACGATCTCGGCTCACTGCAACCTCTGCCTCCCGGGTTCAAGAGATTCTCCTGCCTCAGCCTCCCAGGTAGCTGAGATTACAGGCGCCTGCAACCATGCCCGGCTAATTTTTATATTTTTAGTAGAGATGGGGTTTTGCCACGGTGACCAGGCTGGTCTCGAATTCCTGAATTCAGGTGATCCGCCAGCCTCAGCCTCCCAAAGTGCTGGGATTACAGGCGTGAGCTACAGTGCCCGGCTACACAGTTCAAAACAATACGTATTTATTATCTCAGTTTCTGTGCGTGGAGAATGGGTGGAGGGTTTACATAGCGGGTGGGAAGCCCACAGGAGTTGCGGGTTGTGGTTGGGAACCTGGCCTGCCCTTGGGCGGCCTTCTGGGTCCAGAACTTGGCTTCGGTGCCGCTCTGCTGCCATCTTGTGGCGGACACAGAAACAACTGCCGTTTCCACCTGGACCTTCCCATACTCAACCATTCTTGATGTTTTAGAACTTGCTTTTCAAAATTTTTAGCTTTTATTCTCCCAGTTGCTGAATAGATGATAAAGTCACATGGTTTAAAATTCATGAGGATAAACGGTATTCCTCTCCCTGGGGACTCTAGGTTTCTTTCCAGGGGAACTATTCTATGTTGTTTCTTTTTCTTTCTTTCTTTTCTTTTTTTGTGAGACAAGAGTCCCACTCTGTTGCCCAGGCTGGAGTGCAGTGGCGCGATCTCGACTCACTGCAACCTCTGCCTCCCGGGTTCAAGCGATTCTCCTGCCTCAGCCTCCTGAGCAGCTGGGATTACAGGCGTGCACCACAATGCCCGGCTAATGTTGTTTTTTTTGGTTTTTTTTTTGTTTTATTTTTGTATTTTTAGTAGAGAAGTAAGTTTTACCATGTTGGTCAGGCTGGTCTTGAACCCCTGACCTCAGGTTTTCTGCCTGCCTTGGCCTCCTAAAGTGCTGGGACTACAGGCGTGGGCCGTCGCGCACGGCCACTTATTTGTTTCTTGTATATCCGTCTGGGAAAAGTTCATGTATATACAAAAGCAAACAACACACACATACACGACCAACAACAACAAGAACACCCCCCAAAACATGCCCAGCCTTTCCCAGTAATAAAAGGATAATTTGTTCCTGGCCAGGTATGGTGGCTCACACTGTAATCCCAG